GTATTTTAAACTGTATAAAAAAAATTGAAATCAATTGTGAAAATCCATTCCTTATATAGGACGGTCTCTCCTGTTGACAAAAAGAGGAAAATGCGACGAAAAAGGGAGAAATGTGACGAAAAGGTTAAAATGTCACACAATAGTCGAGATGAATCAATCAATTTACGAATTTCCTAATAATAATTATGTTGAAGAGTGAACATAATTCGGAAAATAGTTATTTTCATGATTGCTGTGAAGTTAATGAAGCTGATAGAATAATTATTTAGAGCAAGAATGTTATGATACTGACTTGACATTAATAACGGTCTTACAAGTAATGAAATTGATAACAATTCTCAAATATTAGTTAGAAAAAAATGCAAACCAGAAGAGACGTAATTTACATAACTCATACAGGTTTGACTTGGACAAAAAGGGAAAAAATTAAAAAATCTCCAAATTTTAAATACAAAATGTAAAACAAGTTTAAATAAAGTTATTATTGCAGATTATTACAAAAATTTCTTTGTGAAAATGATTATATTTTTCTCTCTCACCAACTCTTTTTTTTATCAATTTTTTCTTTTCATCAACTTTTCCCTCTTTTTCCTTTTAGTCAATATGCTCTTTATGGTAAAATTCCATTTTGTCATGTTGACTAAATGTCGATCATTTTGTATCATTAATAAGAACACCTCTTATTAAGAACACATTTTGGCACTACTGATGGTGTTCTTATATGGGGGTATGACTGTAGTACTAATAAATTACTCTTTTTTTTTATTTATTTGCTATTCTAACTTTGTACCTGGTCACCTGGACATTAAGTGAGGAAATGGTTTGAATCAAATCCTTCAAAAGACCAACTAGTATTTCATCTTAAGGCTTGCTATAATAAAGGATGGATGATTCAGAAAGTTTTTCATTTTAAACAATGATTGATAATAATTTAATTTTGCTTTTGATACAAACAATCGGAATGATGATGGATCATTAAGTTAGTTACATTTAAAATATATCTTAATTAAAGATCAAGATGATGATTACTATATTAATATAAAATAAGGTGCATTAAATCAAGATAAATGATTTTTATTGTGATGCAAGAAATGGCATTCTAAAAACTTTATTAATGTTCATAATTAATTGTCTATAAAAATATATAATATATACACAAAATAAATAAATCAATCAAACCAATAAATGTTTTTTATCAAAGAAAAAATTTAATTTGGTGAAGGTGAATGTGGTGATGGTGGCGATGGTGGTGATGGTGGCAATGGTGGCGATGGTGGTGATGACAGTAGTGATGGTGATGAAGGTGATGACAATTGTAATGGCGATGGTGATGTTGGTAGTAGTGTTGGTGATGGTGGTGATGTTGTTGTTGCTGATTGAGAAGCACTTTCTCTGATTCCTTTTGCAATAACATCCACCTTAACCTCTGCACTTCCAAGTGATTGTATTGTCACTACACCTTTAACTTCTCCAGATGTTTTTGGTTGGAAACGTACAAGAATTACTGCAAACCCATCAGCTTTTACTATTACGGTATTCATAGCAATTGATAAAACAAATTTTCCTCCAGGTCCAGATATAGTTTCACATTTACAATTAAGTCTTATTGATTCTTTTGATACATTTATGATTTTTATTCCCATTGTTCTCTGCCTTCCTATTCTGGTTGGTGGCATTTTCAACTCTGTTCCTTCAACTTCAAATTTCAACTCTTTTCTTGGTAACCTTTTTTTTTGTAGAAGTGTGCTGAATGTATTCTCTGTTGCAATTCCTTGAAATTTCATTCCGACTGCACTTGTTGCTTCACCATCTGCTGCATCCTCCAAAACAAATGTTTGCATATATGTACCAACACCTGTTGGAAGAAAATGAACATCTACCCTTACTGCATTTTTTGCTTTCAAGTATCCTGATGGTCTCCTGACTGAAAAAACTTCTTCATCTAATTTGATTGCTGCTGTTGTTGATGTCCCCAATCGCCGAAATGTGGCAACTGAAGCTGGTTTAAGGCTCCATGATACCGGATTATCTTTAGGATTAAAAATATGAAATACCCCAACAATTGTTTCTTTAATGTTTGCACTTGGAAAATTAATTTCTGCTGGAATTCCTATGTGAATAAAATTACTGCTTGTAAGTGGTTCTTTGATAGGTTTCATTTCAGGCAAGTCATCATTTGTTTGTAACGATTGGCTAACTTTACTTATAATGGGTGCTGTGCCACTACTACCATTACCATGATTAGAATTATTATTATGATTAATGTCTGGTGTATTTGATCTGCTTCTAGTATTTGAAGGTGTAAGTGATCCTTGTGATGAAGTTGGTGAAACATTATCATGTGTAGAAAGTCTATTATTATCAGGTATATTTGGTGAGTGTGAAGTAGAGGGCAATATACTACTACTATGATTATTATTATTACTGCTTGGACTATTTGATCTACTATTAGGATGTGATGTAGTTAAAAGTGTTGCTCCAAATGAATTATTGCTATGGTTATTATTAGTATTAGCATTAGTATTGTTTGATGATTCAACTGCGGTTTTATCTGTATCAGGTGTATTTGGGCGACTGCTACCTATTACTGTATGAGAGGAGATATTAGGTGATAAATTATTAGAACTATTTCTGTATTCTATTATGGTGGTTGTAAGAGTTTTTTGAGGAGGAAGTAATTCAGTTGGTGATTGAACAATAGTGGTTAACAGATTTTCGTTATCGTCATTTTCAAGGATTGTAGGTAAAATGATGTTATTATTATTATGAACCGCGGTTGAAACAACAAGAGATTGTTGTTGTTCTTTTTCTTGAGCAACAGTATTGTTGTTTTCGTTGTTGCTTTTATCACTATTTTCCATAATTTTTGTTTTTTAAAAAAAAACTTTTTTTGTAGAAAATATTGACAGAATTAAAATTGGTGTAACAAAGTTATCCACAGATTTACCGTTTTACAAACGAAAACCGGTTTTTTATTAAACCGCCCATCCCTATATACTTCTATTAAAACGACATTAGCTAACACTAATATATTAATATGGTATAAATATTTTACGAAGGTGCACATTAAATTTTTATTTTGAAAAAAAAATTTTTAAATACATGTTTTTCAATAACCTTTTACTATTTTCCATTCTAATATTTATATTCGCCTGTCCTCAGCAGTTCTATAAAATAAAATTATTTACTACATACATTCTATTCTAATAAAAAATATGAACAGAATATTATCTATACATTCTGGGTAATTTGTGGCTCCTTCACAAAGCCAAAAAGGTAACAGCCAATGTAATATAAGTATTTCCGAGTTACTGAACAATCATATTTATATACTTTAAAACAATTATAAAAATCTACAAGGCGAACACAAAATTATATGTATATAGGATTATATGTATATGAAAAGCAATAATGAAAATAATGATTGATTTTTCAGAAAAAGGATGTAATTGTGGTTGTTCTTCAAGAATTCCCAAGGAATAATTTGCAGAATTAAGGGAATCCTTTTTTCGAGCTCTTTCTAAATCTGAACAAGACATATTTTAATGGCCCAGATTAAAACAATGTACAGTGGCTCAATAAGCACTAGTAGACACCTTAAAAAGAAAACTAGATCTAATAAAAGAACATTCTATCACTAGGATCACAATATACCTCTTTGTCAAGAGACTTACCTCAATATGTTGGGAATTGGTAGAACTTATTTTGAAAATATCAGAAATAGTTAATTGTATTAATTGTATTTGAACTGGTAACATATTATTATTATTGACTAACCTTAAAAAAAGGAGAAAGTTTTTGGCCGAAACAAACTTATCAAGTTTGCTTACATATGTATAAATTTATAAGATTCAAGGCAATCGATTTGTTAATGAAATTGAAGCAAAGTTAATAAACTACCTCAAGCTCGTAACAAAATAAAACGATTGGTTTTAGATTTTGAATGTGATAAAGCGCATACAACACATTACAAAAATGAGTTAATATGAAAAGAGTTAATTACCAGTAAATAATGTAATCCATTTTTGGAGATAAAAAGATCGACAAAATGAACATAAATTTCATAAATATAGCTTTATTTAATTGCCAATATAAAATTATAAAAAAATCACTTACCATATATCTAGGACAATAGTATTATTATTTTAAAATTATGAAAAGTAATAACAACAATACTTTACCAAACTATAAACTTGATACTACTAATATTCCTTCTGAAGTGTTTCGTTCTTCACCTTCAAATCCTGTATCTGCTTCAATACCCCTTAAAAAGAAATCAAATAATTCTAAAACTTCAAATTCAAAACAATCACAGGGTAGACAGCCAACGGTAGCTACTATATCACTAGCTCCAACTACTACTACTACTGTGGTCACCACCACCACCACCACCGCCGCCACTTCTTTCCCCCCTTTACTATTAAAACCTCCACCATTACCAAAACATCTTGATCCAAAAGATTATCCTTTAGGTAACATTCCAACACCTCCGGCCTTAAAAAGGTTTTGTTTTGATTTAAATGGTCAACCTGCTTACATTCGTGAACATGAAGACGCTGAACAACAAGTGTTAAAGGTCTACAAATTTCTATACATTTATTACACACACATATAATATATATGTGATAATTAAAATATCAAATAAAAATTTTTTTTAAATATCATATCAAATTTATCTCGCATATGTTTATAGCTTCAAGAGGCTTTGCATAATATGCGAGCATCTGTTCCAACAACTTCTACATCTGAGACTGCTACTTACCATTCTTTTGATGACGACAATCTTACTGGTGCAAAACATTCAGAAAGTGGTGCTCGTAAAAGACCTGCATCTCCTTTAGAATTAACATTAACATTGGAATCTCTTAAACAATCTTCAAATAGCAATAACAATAATAATGCAGATAGCGATGAACTTGATAACCATTTAAACAAAGATACACCTGTTTATGGGTCTTTATCTCCTCCACATAAAAAAGTTTGTGCTAAATTATCAAAAGAAAAAAACAATTCAACTTCACCAAGACAATGGACGGAATTTTCAAATAACAACGACGGTGACGACGACGACGATGATGATGGTATTCTAGGAATTAAAATAAACTCTTTTATAAATAATAATAATAATAATCAAATTGACTCTACCTCAAATCCCTCCGCTATTTCACATCAATCAACCACCTCGCACACTTCAAATCCAAGGCATTACAATACCATATCAACATCTAATATTGGTATCGATACTCCTTCTACCGCAAGAAGTGCCCAATCCTCTGCTCTTCCTTCCCCATCTCTTTCTCCAAACAATAATACAAATCCATTTGAAACTTTCTTTGTTAATCATTCTTCTAACATTAATACAGGTGATGATAATCAATCAAAAAAACCAACTTATAATTGGAACCTGCAACAACAACAACAACAACAACAACAACAACAACAACAACAACAACAACAACAACAGGCAACAAAAACTGTCACCACAACCACTTATCCTTCCGAATTATCTCAAAGACCTAGTTTGTGGGATTTAAATACCATGTTAGCAACATTTGATTCACTACCACATTCAATGAAATCTTATATGCTTTTTCAATTATTAAGGCGTTGCCCCACTAATACTCTTCAATATGTTAGTAATATAATTTTACCGACATTAAGAAAAGATTTCCTTGGTACTTTACCACTAGAACTAAGTCTGCACATTGTAAGATACTTGGATGCATCGAGTATGTGTAAAGCAGCTCAAGTTAATAAACAATGGAGGGAAGTTGTAGATGGCGATGGGTTTACTTGGAAAAGATGTTTGTTGTCTGATGGTTTCAGTCTTGATGATTCAGAAGAAGCACGTGCTATCTCAGAAGATTGGGGATTTACAAGTTCAATAACATCACCATTAAATCGAAATAATTATAATAGTATTGATGATAATGGGTGCTCAAGAGAAGTAGACAATTCATCTTCTGAAGAAAGGGCAATTGTAAAAATTGACGAGAATGATGATACTGAAATTATGAGAATCATCAATGACACTAACGGAATTAAATCTGAAGGTTCATCATCAAGAAATATTTTTAATAACGATGATAATGATGATAATGATATGGTAGTTGACTATGATAATGTTGCAAAGCAAGAAAAAAATTCTCATTCTTCAATTATTGAAGAGGAAGATAATGATAACGGTGATGATGTAAATTTACAAGATGCCTATACACTTTCACCAACAGGTACAGAGATCCAACCATCATCTATTCCTAATGGTAATAATAGTAAGAACAATAGTGATGGTGATAATTCATTACGTACAGAGGAAATTTTTTCAATTCAAAATAAGGGTAAAGGTCGAGCAGACGTTGGATGGGATTCGGTAGAGCTTTATCAAGATGAATCAAATCAAGATCATGATAAGCCATATAATGATGATGATGATAATGATGTTGATGCAATGTCTCAAAGTAGTGATCATGTTGATACCTCTGATGATAAATTACCTCTCCCACCTTCAACAAAGCATCCATATAAAGAGATCTACCGTCGACACTATCTAACACGAAAAAATTGGTCTAATGGTCAACATAAACATATCTCTTTTCAAGGTCATGGTAATAATGTTGTAACTTGTTTACAATTTGATTCTGAAAAAATCATTTCAGGATCAGATGACCAATGTATAAATGTTTATGATACAGTTAGCGGTAGAATGATCAATAGACTTGAAGGTCATGAGGGTGGAGTCTGGGCTTTACAATATGTTGATAAAACATTGGTATCTGGATCAACAGATAGAACAGTTCGTATATGGGACCTTTCAAAAGGGGTATGCACTCATGTGTTTCCTGGACATACAAGTACCGTTAGATGTCTTCAAATTATAACACCGCAAAATGTTAATCCAAATCCAAATGAACCACCTATTATTGAACCACCTATTCCTTTAATCGTCACCGGCTCAAGAGATTCTACATTAAAAGTGTGGCGTTTACCTAATCTTGATATTGATCCATCATATCATCCTACTATACCTTCATCACCATCAGACAATACTCAAATCAGCGATAATCCTTATTTTCTTCGCACACTTCAAGGTCATAATCATTCTGTCCGTGCTTTAGCAGGCATAGGAAATACTCTAGTTAGTGGTAGTTATGATTGCACCGTTAGGGTTTGGAACATCATGACTGGTGAAAGTGTCTGGCGTCTACAAGGGCATACACAAAAAGTTTATTCTGTTGTATTAGATGCCAAAAGAAAAAGATGTATGAGCGGAAGTATGGACGGCACCGTTAAAGTTTGGAGTCTTGAAGACGGCACAAATATTTGGACATTAGAAGGACATTCGTCTCTTGTTGGTTTACTCGATCTTTCCCATGATTATCTTGTTTCGGCAGCAGCAGATTCGAGTCTTCGTATATGGAACCCTGACAACGGTACGTGCAAGCATGTGTTGACTACTCATTCTGGGGCAATAACATGCTTTCAGCATGATGGAGACAAAGTTATATCTGGTTCGGATGGAACGTTGCGTATGTGGAAAGTAAAAACAGGAAAACATATTCGTGATCTACTAACAGGACTAAGCGGTGTATGGTAATGTATATTTATATAACAAAAATTTTTTTGAAAAAAAAAAATTGAAATTAATTATTCGTTAATTAATTAATATAGGCAAGTGAAATTTGACGAACGGCGATGTGTTGCAGCTGTACAAAGAAATTCTGTAACTTGTTTTGAAGTCTTAGACTTTGGAGTGTTTGGTATAGAAGAAGACAAAAATACGCCAAATGCCAGTTGTACTGATGAAGACGGTAATTGGATTTCTAAAAGAATAGTTGTAGGGTGACTTTACGTCTGCTATCAC